GATGCTCTCTTTAGTAAAAGCAATCCTTCTAAATGCAAAAATGGGCACAGTATCAAATCAAAAACTTCAGCTTAGGTTGGTTGCCAGGCCATTGGATCATTGTGGAACCACTTCACAATAGTATGAAGCACTAAGCTCTTATAGTCAAGCTTTGTTGTAGATTTGCAGTTCGTGACAAGAATTATTTTATATTATCTTTTGGATGCTAGTATTATTTTTTTGCTAGCTCATTTATTATTGCCAATCAAGTATTTAGCTGCTCAATTTCTAAAATTTTAGAATAAGTTGTGTGGGATTCTCTTCATCCTTTTTATACTTTCATATATTTTGCAAGTTCATAATGTTTATATTCCTTGTTAGGAACCATTAGCTCTATTTTTTTACTCTAGTTTTTGCTGTGCTCTATTGGCTCTAGTATTGTGCAATCGATCAAATCTGTGAAAATTTTATCAAACCAATTAAACCAAACCAAATAACAAACAAAACTAAACTGACTAAAGAAGATATAGAATCGAACCAAGCTAAACTTAAATATAATTTAGTTTATTCAGTTCAATTTTGCTTAAGCCAAATTTTGAAATCATAATAAAAAATGTGGGCATTCGGTCTATTTATATTGATTGATAGAACAAATTGGTTGATGGATTAAATTTAACCATAATATAATTCGATTTTTCGATTTAACATATTTTTTCAAACTAAACCAATAACTGAAATCCAAATAACCCCTAAATTGGAACAAAAACCTAATTGTGATTTCATCAACTGAACAAAATCAAACAAATATGCCTGGTTAGGTTCAATTTTTCAATTTAAACCAACTAATGCACACCTAATTGACTCAATACATCTACTTGTTTTTACAACATCAATTACATTTGGCATGAAGGAACGTTTTCTCACCAAACGGGTACGGTCAATGGTTCATTGCTTTTAATTGAACTAGAAGTATGCTTACTGGTGGTGGTGGTTTAAGCATGACACAATCTTATGCTTTTGTGGATAACTATAGTTGGTTTTGGTATATAACTACCATCCGTTAAACAATTTCTCTAGTTGGACTGGGTGGCTAGATTAAGAATTTATTATGAGATGTTTATATGATATGAAGCTATTGGCACTGGAAATGCAGTCACGAGATATTGAGTTTTGGCATATGCTCTTGATTATTCTAATACTCTTTAAGTATCCCTTTCAATCGTTAATATTGATCTATGCTCCTCTAATTTGATCCCTGCACTCTACTTTTCATCTATTTATGACTTCAGGTAATTTGGTAGCTTAGCTCTCCATCTCATTCACACTTTCTATTTGAGGTGAAATGGTAGCTTGATGTTCATGATTAGGCTTGTCTCATTATCCAACCATTCTTATATATTAGTTTTGTGTGTTTTGCCATGAATTACTATGATGATAAATCTCCCTTAAATAGTAACCTCCCAATCCACCAACTCACTCTTAATTTGACAGGTATTGTTGTCATATCATAAACCTGATTATTGTTATGAGTGGTGTTTGATTGTATCGTTGTCATGACTTTGTTGATTTCTTCATTTAATTTGATTTTTATATAATCTTTGACTCAAACGAGAATTTTTCAAGGCTTAGATTGTTTTTTTTTTTTTTTTGAAACAATAGGGTTAGGGTTCCTAGGTATATTGTTATGCAATTAAACAAGATGAGTTTGTCTCAGGACACGTCGTGCATTCTCTATTTTTCTTAGCTTCTATGATTTTGGGAATTGACCTCCATTTTTTCCAACAAAAAAGTGTTAAAGCCATGATAATCTATTCATCTTTTATGTTTAATCACCTGCTAAGAAATTCAATAGTATCTAATTCATTAGCATTTAAAGTTTTGTTTAGTAGATCAAAAAATTTAATAGTTATTAAGGGTCAACCATACAAAAGCAATCATCGTTACTAAGAGAACATAGACATCAAGTATTGAGGAATGACTCTAAAATCTTCAACCTTAAGTATGTGGTATCTACTTTCAAGTAAAAGAAAAGTTTTCAAAATTGCCCTTTTTTAAGAAATAAATAATTTCTTAGTTAAATACCTCCATATCATTCATCCATGAAGCCCCAAAGAACAACTGGTGAAAAGTTTGAGACAAAAAGGTGATTAAGAAAGTGGATTATTCACATAGTGACTATATGTGCCTTAATAACTTAAAAATATATGCTACAGTGAAAGAAGAAGTTTGGCTAAAATTACATAGTGAAAAAAGAACTGTGGCTAAAATTACTCACTTACTTCAGCAAATTAAGACTTAATGGTAGGTTCCAAAAAATTTCTTAAGAATTTTCTAGGATATTGATGACCCATATTTAGTTATTAGTTGTTAAATCATTTCATTTGAATCTTAGAAAGAAATTACTAGCAAAAAATTTCTTGGAAGATAATTTAAGTTCCATGCTTCAAGAAGAGAAAGGAGAAGTAACTGGAGAAGAAGTTAAGAAAGAAAAGCAGGATTCCAATCACCACTCTTCATCTTGAAGTGGGTTCCTACTAGAGAGACAACGAAGGAGAGGGTTAAGTGAATGGGACCATCAAAAGTCACCCGGTAATACACCTCATCTTGGAATTTTTTTTGCTAGAAAAGAAAAAGTTGAAGATAAGCAGAGGAGAGGGAGGGAGAGAAGGAGAAAGAGAGAATGGGAGAGAGAGAGGAGGGTGTTCAAATCCTTGCCATAGCTTGTTCTATATGGCTTAGATGCCTTTAAAAAAGAATGAATTTTTGTTTACTCCATCAAAAAATATGGTTATTTTTTTCAATTCATCCAAAAAATATAAATTAATGATAAGGCATCCCAGAAAAGGTCGAGATGAATTGAGGGGATCCGATAAAAGATTATCAAAACATTAGGCATGTGATATGGTCCACCATCCTTTGAACATATGCATACCCTTAATTCATATTTTACGTTCATATATACTTTTATTTGAACCAATGGATCTCAATCGATAAATTAGTAACAGCTTACTTAAAATTCCATCCACCTAGGCATCATCCGAGAAGCCACTCTTTAACCTTACTTGTCTCCCATCTCCTCTAGAACAAACCCCATCCTTTTATCACATGGCTTACCATAACCAGCAGTTAGCACTCTTCCATATTCCAAAGCTACAATTATAATTACAACTGAAATCCAAATTATAAGAGACAAAAATACAATCTTTAGTCAATCTCTATACCTCTAATTCACGGATATTGATGCCATCCACTACATCGTGGGTGATTCAAGCCTCCATTTCATTGATGAAGAGTATCGTCCTCTGTCAAATCTCATTGTCATTCAATGATCTTCTCTACTCCTTCCACCAAACAAGTTTTGATCATAAGCAAAGGAGAGGAAGGGAGGGAAGGAGGACTCGCGAGAGAGAGAGAGAGAGAGAGAGAGAAAGAGAGAGAGAGAGAGAGAGAGAGAGAGGGTGGTATCCCAATCCTTGCCATAGCTTGCTCTATTTGGCTTAGATGCCTTTGAAAATGAATGCATTTTCTTTTACTCCAACAAAAAATAGGGTTATTTTTGTCAATTCATCCAAAATATAGACATTAATGACAATTTGATTTGAGATCAGATAAAAGAATCTCAAAACATTAGGCATGTGATTTGGTCCCCATCATTTGAGCATATGCATACCCTTAATTCATATTTTACGTTCATATATGCTTTTATTTTAACCAATGGAGCTCAATCGATAAATTAATAACAGCTTGCTTAAAATTCCATCCACCTTGACATCATCTGAGAAGCCACTCTTTAAGCTTACTTGTCTCCCATATCCTCTAGAGCAAACCCCATCCTTTGATCCCATGGCTTACCATAACCAGCAGTTAGCACTCTTCTTCCATACTCCAAAGCTACAATTATAATCACAACTGAAATCCAAATTATAAGAGACAAAAATACAACCTGTAGTCAATCTCTATACCTTCTAATTCTCGGATAATGATGCCATCCACGACATTGTGAATGATTCAGGCCTCCATTTCATTGATGTGGAGCATCATCATCCATCAAATCTCATTGTCATTCAATGATCATCTCTACTCCTTCCACCAAACAAGTTTTGATGATCAACATCGTCCTTCTCCACAATATGAAATCTGCCCAACAACAACCCCCACCCCTCGTGTCCTACCTTTTATCCATAGCCAATAATAATGGTAAATCCAAATTGAAAACTTTAACCAACTAGTAATTCAAAAATGAGCGTACCACAATATTATACAAGGAATAATCTAAGTTGAAGTAGGCATAATAAGATTTAGGTTAGAGTGAAACAGACCCAATACATTTCATTGATAGAGAAATATGATAATAGATGCATGAGTGCAAAGACTATGTTCGATAAAGTAGCATCATGTTGCACAAACAAGATAACCTAAATGGCAATACTATGCATGACGAATCCACGCAATGACTGCCACAACAATAAGCAACTTAAAATACTAACACGGCCATCCAAGGAAAGCAGAACATACATTTTAAATAGAAAAATGATGAACCAAAAGTTAAGATGTGCTTGCTTTAAGAAGTTTTTATTTATAGTGCAATCACTCGATTTAAATACAATCAACATTTAATAATTCCACCATAAAAAATCCCAATACGAATAATGGTTGCATGTTAAAATTCCACCATAAAAAGTCCCACAAGCCAAATCCAATCAAGATAATCTTCAAAATCATTCTAGTCCTTACCCATCAATGCACATGAGAGACAACATAAAAATATTTAAATTTAGATTAGGCAATCCTTCAATGCACATAAGATACAACATAAAAATATTTTAACTTTAGATTAGGCAAAAAGTATAAATTCATTGATTATTAATGATCAAGATTGATATATGGCCAAGTTACACTTTTATCATAAGCTTTGTATGAAAATAATAAGCAATCCACTAACCGGGAGAAATAAAAATAAAAATAAATAAATAAATTCCATTAAAAAAATATAATAAGTATGAAAAATCTTACAAACATACCTTCCATATTGGTTTTGGATCTCTAGCCCTAGTTGTTCGAAGCATTTCATATAATAGCCCTGCAACCATACAGTAAACAAATGTGACTAACAAACAAAAAATATATTAATAAGCATAGGCAACCAAAGCATCTTGTGCAAAATTTTGTAGGACATTTAGAAGCATGATACAGCTTTAGAGATATTCATTAGGCCACTCAATGGGTGGGGCCAATACAAAATCATAAAATTTAAAGAAAATTGATCAAACTTTTGGTAGTTCATGCACCAACCAAAAGCACAACTTAACATTAATCCTAAACAAAGTTTACCATACTTGTATGCATATGAGTTTATTTTACTTCTTCAAAAGAAGAACAAAGTTAACCACTTTAAGATGCTTGCAATTGATAGGCCAATTGATGAATCCAATCATTACTGACCATGTAGCGGTGAATGCAATAGTATTGACCATGAATGTATTCATATTGCTTCCAACTAGGAACAGCTACATCTATAAAAGTACCTAACCATGGATTTTCCTCTCCCTTATTTGGTAAACCTTCAACTAAAATAAGTTGTTTCCCTCTGAATGTGGCTAATTCAAGATAAGCCACCTACTAGCATCCTATTTGCATTACCACTCCAATAAAAATTCAAATCATAATTTATTAGCTACATTAAAAATTAAAGCATCATATCAATCAAATAACTATTTTTTGTCAAAAAATCAGTATCCATAAATCATAAAAAAGAAGAGCAAATGATGAGTTAAGAGTCAAGTTCTCAATAACAAAAAAGTTAGGCATACCAGGTTCAAGCTTACAATACCCTCAATCATCCATTTCCACCAATAATCAATTAGCAAGGGAACAAAAAACTTCTATCACATTATTGAGTATATTGTGAGTAAGAAAGTCAAACCATTGTATTTTCAGTAGCGTGTATGAGAACTTGAAAAGGCATGCATAGGGTTGATATGAAAACCCACCGAAATGGTGAAAACCTGTCATATTTTCATTCCCATTATCCTTTACATATGAACCTATCCCTCAGGCAATTTCCACTATACAATTCTCGCAGTTGTTTCAAAGGAAAAGCAATAAACGCTAAACAACTAAATAAAAAGGCATAAAGCACCAGCAGATGCAAGGAATAAGGAGGGGTAGATGAGTGACTCGTGATTTTAAGATGAATATAATGTCAACAACAAATTTATTTAAAGCACAAATATGACCATAATTTGTGAATAGTAAGTGTTATGGCTTATCATACAATTAGGCGTGCCCAAGCACCATTGCAAGACATAAGCGACCAAGATAGCACCTCCCATTTGCACTTTTAAGCATCCTACAGCGCATAGAACAACATAAGAATAGGGTTTCCTATTTTTCTTGGTTAAACACACGTGAGGAGGAAGAAACTATTTTCTTAAAGAAGATTCCAAATTACAATATGGAGCAATGAAAAAAATGAATTAAGAGGAAACTATTCTTGTTTATAATGAAAGTGATTTTAAGGATAAGTATTTTAATTTTTCAATTTGAATATGGAACTTTAAGTAAATTAGTAATTATGTTTGGAATATAATTATTCCCTCGAGAAAAGTTATGACCATCCATGTTTATGTAAGTATAAGCTTGAATGCATTATATTTTGTTCCAATATTATGTATGGCTACTACATGTTAGTTTCATTGGTCAGTCTTTTTTTTTTTTTTACATGATGGCTTATTTTCAATAAATTCTAGTTTCTCCCTCTTTAACAAATGCAAATAAAAGTCAAACGATCTTATTTCTACTTAAGAGTTCCTATTTTCTTATTAAATTATTCATAAATTCATGATTGATTATGCTTTCTTCAATTTATAAATAATGTACGAATATTTATGTGTCATAGATTTGGCAGTATGACACACTTGCGCTATAGTTTGTTATTTCTATTATTAAAATAAATAGGATCATACTTAGTACCCTTTATCTTTTTGACACAAAAGGTGCATTATGAACAAAAATATAGCTTTAATGCATGATGACTTCTGTGAAATTTTATAATTGTTCACCAAAAGAAACTAGAAAATTTTCAAATATCACATACAAAACATTTTAATATAACTTTCTAGACAACATATGGACAACAATTCTAGTAAATTCTCCTTTAGAATAAAAGTTTCAAAAAGATTGCATTGGCATAGAATTTCCAAACAAAGTTTTTTTATAACAATGGTACAACATGACTTTTCAGAATGAAAATTAAAGTTTTTTTGTATAATCAATAAATAATTTATTTATATGAAGTTGCATCAATAATTAAATCCAACTAAGTTCAATCAAAAAACTCATTGACAATTCAAACATTTGATCAAAACCCAAGTGGATCAATCTTTTTTTATTTTTTTCTCTTCTTTTTCCGCTTACAGACTCCATTTCTCTAACACTGTCATTGTCGGTCCCAAGTCCGGATGTGAAAAGTGGGAGATTGCATTAAGTAGTCGAGAGCCAGCGTAAAACTTGTCGAAAAATATCAATGACATGAATTCTTTAGATCTTGTGTAAGTGTTAGGGCGTTCCTTGGAAGTGACGGGTTGTATAGCCTGAATACAGTGAAAAGTGTGCAATGGTTGCTACACCGGCGATCGAGTGTAGTGTCAAATAAACAAGGGTTTCCACATTACGAACGGATGCGGATAAAGAAGTTAGTACATAAAACTAATGAAATTAATATTATGATAGGATCTTGAAATTTAAATACTCTCAATGGTAAATGAATGTAATCAATTGATATTATGATTCATAGAAAGATTTAACATCTTATGTATTCAAGAAACTAAATGGGTTGGAGAAAAGGCTAAGCAGATTGATAACTTAGGTTTTAAACTTTGTTATTCTGGTAAGAGACGCACTAGAAATGGTGTAGGTGTAATTATAGATACGAGTTTGAAAGATAATGTTGTAAAAATTATTAGAGTAAGAGATAGAATTATAGCCCTTAAGATTATTATTGATACTAAAATTTTTAATATTATAAGTGTCTATGCTTCTCAAGTAGGTTTAGATATAGGGTCTAAAAATAAATTCTGAAATGATTTGGAAGACTTAATACAAATTATATCCCTTGAAGAAAGATTTTTTATTGGAGGAGATTTAAATGGACATGTCGGTAGATTGGTAGAAGATTTTAGTGCTCATCACACAGAGGCATTCCCAACCGTGTTTTCTGATGTGTCTGAAGAGGAACAAAGTCAGCATTGACTGGATGTACCAAATGGAGTTTTTGATTGGAAACCAACTGCACTATTATGTGCGGTGTGATGTGATACCCATAGATATCTGCCACCTTTTGTCAGAGAGATTGTGACAATTTCACTGTAGGACTCAGCACGACAGATTCAAAAATAACTACTACTTCACCGAGGAGGGGAAACATATCATTATTCTCAATTCTGCATAACTCGAGATCATGGGTGCCCTAGCCAGCATAGTTGCGTCGGTGGGACCGATTTTGGTGATTGCAGTCACGCATAGGACTGAGAAACCAATTCCCTACATAGAACAGTCACGCATAGAACATTTTAGTACATCGAGATTGAAAGGTTACTGCCATGGCCACTCCTATTTGACAGTGAGCTCCCAATTCATATCAGGTTAAGACAACTAAGTTACTTTAGAAGTATTCAGCGACATATGCATGACACACAGACCCAATTTTGTTCAACAGTGAGCTCCCAGAAGATTGTGTCATATGGATGTTTGCTCGTAAGTGGGAAAAATCCTCAGGTGCTTGAGGGGACGATGCAGTCACCGATGGGATTCAGGTGCTTCTCGAACCATAGTAGAAGATTTGTCGGTACCGGGAGATTACAAAAACTTTGTCACTGTCAACGAGCAGTCGGAAGCTTCGACGAATGAAGTCGAAGCTCCCCAACCCTAGGAGACTGACGTAGGGCTTGACTGAGTCGGCAACTGATCTAACTAGAAAGTTAGACTAATTCAGGGAGGGAGGCAAGGGAGTCGACTGACCCATTTGTTTGGGTTAGGGTTGTCACACAACCGCTCCTAGTTATCTACTACTATGTATTTGTTATTTCCATTATTTAGGGCTAGTTTTTAAACTTTTGAGATTTTTGTACAGCTTGTCGTCAACGACTGTTTTCTTGTCTAGGATTGTATCCAAAGATGATAAAACACCCTAGTTGTAACTCGTTTGAGGTAGTGATCATCTCTAAGGATTCGAGAGGTGCTCTAGCTTTAACTCGCTCCCGCGGGGATAGTTATCATTTCCTAACCCCCTCCGTTATCTTTCCAGTCATCCTCCTTGTTGATGCCTGCCTTTCCTCCACCATATACTTACGCACCTCCCCTCCCTCTCCCTACTTAATGCCATAACCTCCAATCCTCCCAACTGTTGCCGCAACCCTCTCCAATCCTCCCAACTATTGTCGCCAACCCTCCAATCAACCCACATGTTGTCATCAACTCCTCAATCTCCCAACCAGCGACCGCCAGCCTTCAGCCTTCAACCTTCCGTCCTGCCTTTCGACAACTGCCAAACCCCCACATCCACCCCCTACCTTAACAACAACCCTCTCATCAGATCACAAGGTGTCTTTTATGTTTGTAATCGCTTATTCCCTGTTTTAAAAAGTCTTCGTTGTAACCTAATGAATTTCAATAAGAATATTTGCATTTCCATTGTGATTTTGGTTAACTCCGGCATCAAGCACCAAACAAGAAAAGCAAGACAATTGATTAGGTTTAAGATTCCTTATATTTTTGTTAGGGTTCCTTTCAGACCGCCACATAAAATACTGGCATTGGTAGGTCCAAAAAGATTACAAAATCCTTGATTGTTGATCTATTTGCCTCCTACTCAATCTCTCTATCCAACTTTAACCTTCTGGAAGAACATGGTCAATGGACTCGGTTGGAGTAAAGCAACAAAATCAACCTTTCTTAACATTATGTTTATATATATATATAATATATATATAAACATAACTAACCAACTCACATGTTCGACAGCTTGGCAAACCTAAAAGGAAAAAAAATGAATCATATATTTCACCTCTCTATTAAAGACAATATGATAGGACATTCATTCCGCACTTTCAATTTGACCGAATGAGCATAATGGGACCTTTCGTCCACACTTGAAAAACTTGACAAACAATTCCATGGAACATGGGATTCCATTTAATTCAATAAAGTGGGGTACACAAAGGATAATGGCAATGAAATTGAGAACGAGCAGTGCAATCATAAGTGGCAAACGAATGAGAAAATTAACATAGACAATAGAAAAGATAATGGGTCAAGCTAGCCTTGAAGTGGCCTAAGTAAAAAAATTTTACAAAAAAACCTCACGCTAATCAATGTGAAAAGTCCAAAACAGCAAAGATCTTACAAGAATAACTAGAGTTGGACCGAACCACATGACAAAACCATTATAAACCTAAGAACCTTCAAAAACGAACTCAAGCTACCTACAAATAGTATGATATGAGCCAAATACTCACCTCGATGGCCTTGATCCATTAAAATGATGCTAATGGGAATGAAAAAAAAACTCCATGATACACATAAGTAATGATTCTTCAAAAATCAGACAGTTTTTAAGAGAATTCCCTAATAAAAAATGAGTTCTTCAGGTAACTCAAAAATAATCAAGACTAATTAGTTTGGAAGAACCAATGATTTGTAAAAAGGCTTGTTTATATCTAATTTAGGACTGAAAGCCCTACCACATAGGCATGTACATTTATATAAACTCAAACATCTAATTGTTGAGCGGGGGTGTTTCTGGGGTGGAAATGATTTTCCCATTAAAAGAATATATATACTTATTTCATGGATTGGATGAATTATATAAAAAAGGAAATGATATTACTCCACTAAGATCGCTAGTTGATTTCATCCACAAAGTATTTCAATCATCAAGCTCTTCCTCTTAAAAATAAATGTTTATTAATAGTGCTCGACCCCATTACAATAAGCATCTTTTACAATGATTATATTGGCAGGTAGTTAAGAAATAATAAGATGGAAGATTATTAATTTTTTTGGTATTAGATCCTATTTTCAAGATGCAAGTAGTTTAATTGGAGTATATAAATAAACTCATTGTTGTATTTGGTTTTTAATATCATTTAAATGTCAAATTGGAATAAAGATTAATATGCCTCTCTCTCTCTCTCTCTCATGCTCTGTCTCTTCCAAGATAGTAGTAGACCGCCATATTCCTTTCGAGATTTAACCAGAATCTCTCTCTCTCTCTCATTCGCATGAGTAGTCATTCGCATGAGTAGAGGGGGCCTTAGGTGTTCATTCATATAGAAATGGAAGAGCAAGAAATAAAATGAAGAAGATAAACAAGGAAAGAAAAAAGAAAATCCTAGAAGAAGAACGCAAGTCATCATCCACATAAAGGCTCCACTTTAATTTGTCCCTCTAAACAAGTTTCAACTATCTCTCTTTGAATCTCCTTCAAAAATCCACCAAATCACTCCAAAATCCACCAAACCAGTCCACAAATCTTACTATCCTCGTCTTGGTGAACCTTCAAAAGCTCTCTAACCTTAAATTAAAGTTTGAAAGGTCTCATCTACTATAGTCTGTAACTAAAATGCATGCCTATTTAAGAATGATTCCGCATAAAATCCAAAACATTATATAGTTTAAGTTAAATCCACATTATCATCCAAGATTGAGAGAACATTGTCATTGACCCCAATAAATTTTGGAATCACATGTATTTGTACACTTTCTTCCTATCATTGTGATCCACTGTGATCGTTAACCTGGTCCCACTATTTGGGATTAGCATTGTGAATCATTGAATCCATATTCTGCATTCATTTGTACTAGTGTTGCACAAGGTGTTTTTCTCTTTTGCATAATTTCAATTCATATTTTGTTTTCCTTCATAATTATTTCACATTAATTTATCCAACTATCTTGTTAGTGCATCTTCTATTCTCCATTTTATACACCTAGATCACGTAAATCGATTTTCAGTACCTCATATTCAAAGTACAATACTCCCATCAAGCTTATGTTATAAACATTTATCAACCTATGGATGCCAACAACCATCCTATCAATTGTGCTCCAAAAAGCTATCAAACATATTTAGTTGTGCGTGGTTTACCAGATGGAATACGGAATTTACCATAAGAATTTTTTCTTTTGAAAAAAAAAAAGTCTGGGCTCAATAGTTTGACTACCACAGTTCTTTCTAAGAAGAACTTGCTTTTGTTCATCCCGTCTAAGGCAGCTAATCAGCGACTCCATTGTGCAGCCTACTCATAGTTTTGATTTTGATGTGTGCACGTTGATCCTAAACAAGCTCTTTGATTCAGGCTAGACCAATCAAGCTCTTTGATTCAGGCTCCACTGCATGAGTTACCAGAAAAGATTATTTCGTCATTTTAAGGAAAACTTTGACGAAATAATTTTGAGTTACCAGTAGTCAGGTTCTAAAACTTCCTAATTTCTACTTACTATTGTTCTTCCAACACCTTATCTCTCATTTCAAGGAATACCTATACTATGTTGTCTACATGGTGCATATATTTTCCCAGCTAAATCGAACTGGATTAGTTTGGCAAACACGGCGAGCGATTCCTCCAAAATCAAACTGGCTGTACTCTCCCCAAACCCCCTAAAATATACTCGTCAATGAAAATACCTTTTTAATACTTTATTCTCCATCACTGAAATTATTATGTTTCCTTCATCCACTTTCTTGCCTTGTGATTTTTCGCATTACTCGGATTACCCACTCCAAGAGGAATCTAATTCGCTCGTCCAATGGAAGAAGAAAGAAAATATTTCAAGAGCGAAAACTTACGCTCTCTTGTGATCTGTCGGAAGTTCTTGTAATCCCCACTGGACGACGATTCAGAATCCGACATGGACATTATTGATGATTCCGTGTGACCTCAGCAAGTTCGAAGGTGGGGATCGTCTCAACCTACTCGGAATCAGCCGGTGATTGGATCGGATCTCCGGACTCTCGACAGCTCCTGGGGAGATAATAGCTGGTAAAGGAGAGCTAAATGAAGGGAAGGAGAGGACGCTACCCTCACCCCCCACGAAACAAGGGCACCGCGAACAGCGAGCGAGGTGGCAGATGACCGTTGTTGGTATATTCCGGCGAGGATTGACCGGAGAGAAGAATTTCTCCGGAAACGGTGGGCGGGTAAACCACTCGCAAAGCTTTACCGGAAGAAGGACAAGATAGATTAGCGCCGAGCGGAAACTTGGAACTCGAGTTGAATTTAGAGGAACTGATTAGAAAATGGATTTCTAAGGTTAAACTGTACGATAACTATGCAGGTTTGATTTTTGTAGGAAAAATTTAAAGATTTTTTATAAAAATATATTATGAGTTGATGCACTTGAGAATATTGGCACGCCCTTGTAATTGATTAAATCCATCATAAAGTGTGAGAAAACTAAGATGACCCTAAAAGTACGTTGCTCGAACACCTTCCAGCCGGCTGAAGAATTCATGGTCAACTAAAAGATTTTCACCACCAAACAACCATCAGACCACCGAATCAGCAGATCATTAATACCTTGCTTCGAACAGTTATGAATACAAAAATAGTACCAATGATGATATGAATATTAAAGAATCAGAGAGCCAATTACAAATATATAAATGTATAAGAATACATTATTTACATTTTTAACGCATCTATTTAAACTAAGACAACTATGTGACTTATCAGACGCATCATGTACTCTATAAATTTATAGATTATTTCTTCAAGATGAAACATTGAAACGGTTCAGAGAAAACTTATGTTATTATGTTATCTTTTTTTTTTTTTTCTCTTTTTCTCGGGCACTACTCCTTTAGTAAGATCTTATCCTGAGTATTCAATTATTGAGAGCAGGCAGCAAAGAAAGTCATAATTTTTTAAAATTAAATAACTCTCTTTTTCTCGGGCACTACTCCTTTAGTAAAATCTTATCCTGAGTATTCAATTATTGAGAGCAGCCAGCAAAGAAAGTCATAATTTTTTAAAATTAAATAAGCATTCAATTAATTTAAAATCACAGTAACTAGTTTTCTAACCTCCTAAAATCTATGGTTTTTAAGTATTTAAGGTGTGAAATGTAATATAAATATTTAATTAGTGTTAAGAAGAAAAAAAACGGAGTCAGCTTTTAGCTTATTCCGAGAATACCGCAAAATGTTTTTTCTCTCCCGCAGTATCTTTTCGGCGAAAGCGAGCGAAAAACAGAAAGATGGAGCGTGTTCTCCTTCGCGCGGGCTCGGAGACTGCTTCGTCTCCTGCTTCCTCTCCCTTCGATCTAGGGATCTCCTTCGACCGAAAGCAAGCAGGTATTCTCCCGATTTTCCTTCTCGTTCCGCTGCTTCGGCTGGCCTTGCCCTGCCGATTAAATTTTATATTCTGAATTACTATGTAGGAATCTCTTGCATTAAGCACTATCTTCTGTATTACATTGCTTCTAACAGTTTGCTTAAAATCCCATTACCACCATTGAAACAACCCTTCTGATAAAAGATTGATTTCAATGCTCACTTTTCCCCTTCTTTTGTAACACAAAATACTGATTAAATAATCTCATTCAACTCATTTTCTTTATTCATTTCACTTCCGTTCTTTTATTCCTAACTTTGTTCGTCCATTAAACCGTATTGTCACAAACTCTTTTATTTAGCGGCCTGAAATTAATATCTCTTGGCTGATAGATCGCGTAAAAATATGGGTGCTTATTGATTCAACTGACCCGATGGTTAGGATAATATATGGTGATTTCATGACATGACCATTTCATTCTTATAGTAATAATGCTTCATCTATGACACTAATCTGAATGAAGTAGATGATTTCCAAATTCATCATAATATGATTTTTTTTTTCATAAGAAGTATTTATTAGATTTATCTCAAAAAAAAAATTGATGAGGATATCCAGAAATAAATATAAAAAAGCTCTTATTGATGCATCATTCTTTATATACAGAAGCAAATTAAATTAATACAAGATTTCCAAAAAGATGGATTAAAAAGCGAGGAAGTAAGCAGATCAGCCGAAGCCTTCGTCTTCGTGGAAGCCGAAGGACGAAACAGAGGAGCGGCGGCTGCGGGAGAGGGAGGAGGAGGAGAGGCTGCGGCTGAGCTGTCGAGCGTAGCGGACGACGGCTCGAGCCCAACGGCGAATCTCTCTCTTGAACCCAACCGGGTCCAGCTCGCGCAGTGGCCGGGTCTATCTTCACATCCAGCCCAGTGTGAGTCAGGCAACCATCGTGCTTCGCCTTCTTCTTCTCCTCTGTTTCCTCTACTCCGTCTTCTTCCTCCCGCTCCCGCAAGCGATATAATGTTTTATGATCGTCTCTCCCTTCCATTCTTCTCTCTCTTTTTCGGCGACTCGATAATTTTTATGGTACACTTCTTTTGTTTCATCATTTTATGGTAAGATAAGAGGACGCGGGAAAGCAAGAAAGGGAATTCCCGCACGCTTGGTGCTTGTGGAATTTCCGCAAACAGAAAAATTGGTTTTTTCGGAGAACCTGATGTCTGAATTAAAAAATTATATTAATTTAATATTTAATACTTCTCAAATTAACTCGAACATGTTTAAATGGTATACTCTTTTTCCTTTCACTTTTTCTGACTAACAAGTTTTTTCCATTGGATTTGGGTTAAATTTGCATCATTCGAGGTTTTTGGTATTCTATGGCAGAGTCAAGGGATTGGCCTTTTGATTTGGCCAGTTTTAACGAGCACGTGTAATTTAGGAAACATGACGTAGATTTGATCGGTCGAAAATTAAAAGAGAAATTTACATAATTACCACGCAATTGTTGTCTTTACACATATAACACTTACAAGTTGTATATTTACATCATTAATATTCTGGCGTTTAAAACTTGTGCATGGGAAAGTGTATTTCACTTTTTAGGAGCTAGTAGTCATCGTGATATTTTTGATACAATGTCAAAAATTTGAGTTGTATATGTGTGAAAATATGTAAGTTTTGGTGCTAGATATGTAAATATATAAGAATTGTGCGGTATATTTGTAAATGCCCTAAATTAAAAAAAAATAGAAAATAACAAAATAATTAAAATGTGTTTCAAAACTTTTAAAGTCATTTATATAAATAATCGAGCCAGTGGGTCACGGTTTGAATGTGATTTTTGGCATACATGAAATGGAAGCAAAATTATTTTAAGATATCCTAATCAATTTATCTTGTGGAGTTCAAAACTAGTAGTCATACATCATCAATAAATTTCTTCTTTCTACAGAAATCATTGCAGAATATTTTTTTAGTAAAAAGCATTCAAACTCAAATTAAAAATTATCAAAAACTCCAATTTCAGCAAGCTTGCCGTCAAACAAACCTGCAAGACAAAGAGGACCTAATGATGCCAAAATTGGTCTAATTCGAGTCAATTCAAACCCGAATCAAGTCATTAAGCTACTTTTGTAAGCATTCCATGTCTAATTAGAAGATTTAAATGGATTTCAAATTTGAGAAGTTTATAGCCTAATCTAATGTCTCGACAAGGCAAATCCAACGAGCTCAAGATTACTCAAATTTGACATCTCTAAGGCACCTAAATGTCCATTGAATGCTGTCAGATAGAGGGAATCTTTGGGTCGTCTAATGGAGTGGTGTATATTTCTTTCTTATTTATAGGGATGTCTTTCCCATACTCTATAAATAGAGCTTTATCTTCTCTTGAAATGAGGTGTTGACCTTCAATCAAAGGAAGACGAGATCTTAGAGGAGAAAAAGTTGAACTCCAATATTCTACACCGAAGGTTCTGTGAATGTTGCTCGCTCATACAGTCGTCAACCAATGTAGACCACCGCTCGCAAGTCGTCTTCGACCACCATGGATTGTCGTCTGCTCATGAAGAAATATTTTACGGAGTTCCAACGTGTTTTGCAAAACAACAGTGTATTTTGTGGAACAACGATACGCTGTGCACCAACACACCTCGAAGACAGTTTACTGGAGTTCCAATAATTGTTTCCAACTGCAGTCACTCTCGACCATTGTGTAAAAAATATTATGCCGTGAAGAATTAGGTAGTCCTTTCCCACATGTGGGAGAAGGACTAGTGTATATAATCACCAACTCATAATGGATTGGCATGAATGGGCTAGGCTTTGTGGGTTTTTTTTTTTGAGTTTTTCACATAAAAATTTTTTGTGTCTCTACTACATGTTACTTTTATTGTTTTAGTGTCTGTTGGATTCTCGTGCAATATTAAGACGATAATTCATTACTCTACCTTGTGAATTTTGTAGCACTCATCAATTAGATTTATGTAAAAATTTGTATAAAATTTTAATCCCTTTAAAATCACAGTGATTATTATTTGATTAGAATGCTCTTTTTTAAACTTTTTTATATAAATAAGCAACCCACTTTTTCTTAATGATTCTAATTGTTTTTTTTAAGTTTGTAACCTTATGTTCTTATTGATTAGAATGTTCTTTTTTTGAATTCTCATATTGTGTTTTTTTTTTTTTTCTTTTCTAACCATATGTCTTACATAATATTAATAAAAATGTACATAAATTTTCACTTCTGTAAAACATAAATTTAAGTGCATCTAATTCTATGAGCATATTGTATTCTTATTGGACCTAGAAAATTAAATTTGGTTTGAGTCAATTATGCAAAAATATATAATTATTTTATAAAATACAACTTTTTATTTGCCTGTTTTGATCCACAGCAAAAAATAAATATACTTATATATTGGATAGTCAATGGATTTAATTCCCGAATAAAATATGAGAATCTATGGAATTTTGATATTAATTTATGGTTTACTATATTCATGGCTTAGAGGTCAAGGCACGGCACCAACTGTCTATGTACCAAATCAAATGAATAAACTTGTCTTAACAGTCAAAGCTTCCATTGCTTCAAATTAGTGCTTTGGCTTCTTATTGGTTAATAACATGCTAGTTGTAACATAAATAATCACTTGTCAATAAACAGCTAAACATTCTGGGCACATTTACATACATACTACTCAATTCTTATTTATTTACGCATCACTAACTTCTACTTATTCCGAAATTGGACCCCCCAAAATAAAATTATACTTAGACACAACAAAAATATTAAACATGATTCTCGAAATAAATAATTTTTAAATCTCAAAATGCCCAATCAAACTTATATTAAGAGCAATTGTATCAATCAGACAAACTCATTGATGTCAATAAGAATACTTAATACCAAGTCGGAATAGACCTACATCAACACTTTGGAATACAATTAAAAAAATTTCCACAGTATTTAGATAGTCAAATAGCATATGAAACTTGTATGCTTATTCAAACAAATCTACACATTGATCGTCTTCTAAACACACCTTAGATGCATCGAAATTCTTTTGAAATACAAGCCTTTCATAATTTTGAGCAGAAAATAAAAATTTCACTATGATTTGATTACGGAAAATTACAAATCCATTTTTTTATATACAAACATAAGGTCCTTTCCATAAAGGAAAGAAAAAAGCGAGATTAGCCAGAAATATGATACAATTCACAAAATGCCCTTACTGAAATAATCCATATTTTTTTCTCTCTCCAACAACAAAAATTAAACTCGCGCACACATGTTATTTGGAAATAATATACATAGCAACAACAAGAATGTATGCATTACTTTACATAACTTTAAATACTAAAATTCCCTGAAGAATGCTACGTTAATTTCATAAAAAAACCTTAATCCATGCTACATAAACATTAAGTTGCGGTTTCTCTTCCGAGATACAGCAGGGGAGAAACCAGATATGAACAAAGCCCAGGATTGGAACGCATAATGGACTTAACCTTCTTCAGCACTCAGCAATGGCTCTTCCTCTTCTTTGTTTTTCAACTAATGACTTAATCTAAACCCAAATTCACGAGCTGTTGGCCACTGAGCCACCTCCATTGCTGTTCGACGAGCTCGCTGGCAATCCAGGTGGAGAAGAGCACCTGCTCGAGCTGCTCCCATTTGGATTTTCGCCACCCTTACTCTGAAGCTGCCGCAACCGACATCCTTTCCTCACTTCTGTGGATTGATTCTGCAAAATGCAATAACTTTAAACAGAAAATTTGCAAAATATGCAACTAGTAAAAAAGGATTGTTTTTGTTTTCTATGTTATATTTCCATTTTACTTTGTTTATGTTTTGATTTGAAATAAAATATAGTTGACATGTTGAAAATTAATTAGCTTGCTTTTAAAAACACTCAAAAACAACATTAAAGTGTGTTTAAACCTAAGTTAATATGCTTTTTAAAACAAAAATACTAAGAGGTTGTTTGGGATCACTTTTATTTTATGTTTTCTATTTTTTTATTTTTAAATTTCTTTTTTTATGTTCTCTTTTTTTTTTTAACAAAACATGTTTGATTAAGATATTTTTGGTTTTTAAAACACCTGAGAGTTATTTTGAATGTTTTAAAATTTTTAAATTTATTTTTAGAAATGAAAAAATTAAAAACATGTTAAAGCCCACTAAACAAATATGTTTTAAAAATTAAAAAAACCGAAAAAAAAAAAAGATCCTAAATAAGACCTAAAACAAAAAAAAAAGGGGGGCAATAAGCATTAAGATACAACATCCAATTTCTATGCATTTACATATTGAACACCTAAACTTTGTTTTTTGCATTTAAACCACCCAAATATTTTATATCACATAAAAAATACCACTACATTTTAACTTATCACGCATAGGTAATGTGACATATAAGTAAAAATTGAAATTTAGATGTGTGATATGTAAATACAAAGAAATTGAGTGGTATGTATGTAAATCTTACAAAATAAATTTGGCCCCAAACATGACCAAAATCAGTTAGAGAAGCAAAACGACATTCATGAACCTTGGAAAATGAAAATCAGCAAGTTTGAATACCCAAAACAATGCAAAAATATGAGGTAATCAATAGTTCTTCAGAATCCACTACAACTATAATAAAAAACCTGCTGAATTATTGCTGACTTTGAATCAGAACGATTTGCAGATCCTGGTATCTTAAGTTCCAGCTCTGTCACAACATCACTGAAGTCGGAACTTCGCTCTGAAACGCCACACCGTAACCGCTCCGACGACCAGCTTCGTGACTCATTCCGAGTCGTACTACGATCATCATCATTACACCGATGTGGATGAGGGGGAAGCTGTTGGGTGGGTTGTTGTTCGACGTAGGGATTACTCGACGAAGCGAACGGGTGATAGGACGAACAATGACTGGGAACAGCTGCAGGGCTCTGGTTTTGAAAGAACGGGTAGAGGGGAATCGACGTATGAAACGGAACTGGACCTGAGGGAATGGGGACGGAAATGGGAAAAGAATACGGAGAAGGTGAACGTATAATAACTGAAGGGTCTACTGTGGCCCAAGGATACAAACATCCAAGTCTCTGCTGATACTGAGTATTCAAGTTATCAATTTCAGATTTTAAAGCAGATTTCTCTTCTCTAAGCTCATTCTTCTCTTGAGTCAACTGACAAAATTAAGAAAGTCGAGAATGGAAATACGATAAGAGGGCATTTACATAAACACTACCCAATTCATATGTGTTTACATATCTAACGGCTAAACATTGTGTTTTTACATTCATGCCACCTATATCTTTCATATCACATCGAAAATACCACCATTTTAACTTTTAAAAAGATGAATACACCTTTACATATAGTTAGGGTGGTAGGTGTGTAAAAATTAAAATTTTTGTGTTAGATATGTAAATAAATAGGAATTGAGAGGTATGAGGTCAATCTCCTAATAAATATTGAGAAGCTTATGTGGTAACAATTTTCAGAATCTCAGAGTATTTTTACTCACTTCTCTTGATTCCTCAGATAGCAATGTGTGTTCTGCTTTAAGTCTGTGTACTTGAGCAGTCAAATCTTTCAGCATTAGGATCGCATCTCCAAGAATGGTTGCCTTGTCGTTCTTCGGTCGATCAGGGTCTGCAATTAGAATCAACATCCATTCAGCGTGAGTCTGAAAGCTGAAGGCAAGAAACGGGAGAGCAAACAGCTAAATGTATCCATAAAACAGTTAATTAGTTGATTAATTCCATAATATGGAAAAGGAAGGTTTACATACATATCACTCGTTTCCTATGCATCTACATATTTAACACCTAAACTTCATTTTTTACACACAACACCTTTTGAATGCATGAAAAAATGTATTTCGCCTTTTAAAAGTTAAAATGATGATATTTTTGATGTGATATTAAAGATTTGGGTACATAAATGTAAAAAAAATATACTTTCGGTGTAAGATATGTAGATACATAGGAATTGTGTGGTATTATGTAAATGCCCCAAAAGTAAAATGACAAAACTACTACGTATGCTCCTACCAAATAAACTTGTCAACTAATATTCCGTCTCTATAAACAGTTAATCAATATTCGAGCTTCAAGGCAGATATCTGTATGGCAAACTTGGAAAAAGACTTTAGCCATGAATGCATTTAATAACCTCTCTATCAGTTGAAGACATGAGCAACTAAACAAGTAACAATAAATGGTAAGCATATAAAATGAAATTATTTTGTGCATGCAAAAATACTATTTTGTAATAGAAGTATGAATCCTTACTTTTCATTCTTTCTGGTCAAGCGTCAAGCATATTCTTCGCAGATCACTTTCCGAAACTCTAGATATGCTACTTTAAATCTGCAATTTGATTCTCAATCCATAAGCAAATTTTATGTAGATATATTTTCTTATCCTTCAATAAGCATTCTATTTTTTGTTCACTCCAATTATTCCACAAACAGTCAAATACAAATATTCCTTAAATTACAATTTCTAGTTTAACTAACGTCCGGTCTAATATTCTTATTTCCACCATACTCAATTTAAAAATTTAAAATTGTTTTCTGCTTAACACTCATATCCATCCAACTTAACAGCCCAGTTAAATTTTTAATGAAATTTTCCATAATATATATATATATATATATATATATAATTAACTAACCAAGAATGATAACTGATTAATAAATATTTAGATATGATAGTTCTGAATCTTGGTCTTACATATATGGAGGTACAGATTAAATACTTTTGGTTGGGCTCAAAGTATAGGGTTGACACTTAGAGACAAAATGCGAAATGAATATATCCGTGATATGGTTGGTGTAGCTTCACTGGAGGACAAGATTACAGAGAGTTATCTTAGATGGTTTGAACCTATTAAACGTCGACCATCTGATGATTAGGAGGGTAGATGTTTTAGCTTTGACTAATGTTAAGAAAGACGGAGGTAGACTGATAAAAACTTGCATATTGTATAAAAAATGATCTTAATCTATTAGAATTAAATAAAAATATGACACTCAATAGGGCGCAATGGAGAAAAGGGATTCATATAGCTGACCCCACTTAGTGAGATAAAGGCTAGTTGTTGTTGTTGGGCTAAAAAAAAATGGGTAATTACTGGGGTCAGGCAGGTGTCAATAATTGATAATGGCCAGAATGGCAACCCACTTGATAAACTTTTAAAAATTTATTTCAAATAAGTTTTCAAACTAAAGTGAATTTTCATGGCCACCACTGCAATTTTTTTAATGTTAAAGCAAAGCTTTTGCAAGGTACTTCTAAAAATATCTTTTTGGACTGTTTCTAAATTAGTGTATAATTATTTACCTTATAGCCCAAAAGTTTAGGAACTTAATAATATGATCTATGATTATAATGTTCAAATGCGAGGATTAAGCTCACGATAAAATTGTTATGACATACTAATATTGATTACGTTACAATGTTATAATTATTATGGTTGTAATAATTATATTGTAATAGTACGATGCAACACCAACACTTCTAAAAAAGTGTCATACACATGTCGAACAAGTATCAAATATGGACTCGGCTACACTTGTCATACACTACACAATACAACAACAATAACAACAACAAGCATTTATCCCACTAAGTCAGGTCAACTACATGAATTATCTTTCTCCATTATGTCCTACTGAGTGTCATATTTTCATTTAATAATAATAAATTAAAATCATTTTTTTTATACAAAATGCCCTAATCTTTTTAGGTATATCTCTATCTTTCTTAACACAAGTCAAATCTAAAATATTTACTCACCTAAATTGATCATCAGATGGTCGATGTTTAACATGAGCAAAAAAACAACTAAGGTGACCCTATCTAATCTTATCTGCCACGGAGCTAACCCAACACTTTCACAGATATATTTGTTTCGCATTTTGTTTTTAAGAGTAAATTCACCCATCACCTAAGCATTCTCATCTCAACAACACTTAATTTTATGCTTCTCTTTCATAGGCAAATATTATGTGTCATAAAGCATTGCAGGACTCACTACCATGTTATAAAATTTTCCTTTAAGTTTGAGCGGTACTTTTTCATCACACAATAGGTCTGATGCATTCCTCCACTTCAACCATCCAACTTGAATTCTACTAATAACATCCTTATCTATATCACCATCACTTTGAACAATAGACCTGAGATATCTAAAATGTTCACCCCTTTTAGTGACTTGCTCACACATTGTTAGAACCCCACCACTAGATCTAATACTACTAAAATCATATTTCATGTGTTCAATTTTAGATCTACTTAAACAAAAGCCTGTAGACTCACAAGTAGACCTTCATAATTCAAGTTTTTCCTGAACTCTCTCTAGCCTTATCCACAAGAATGATATCATCCGCAAAAAACATACATTAAGTTTCATCCTTCTGTAAATGTCCCGTAAGAACATCCATAACTAAAACATAATACGGGTTAAAGTTTGTCCTTAATTTAATCCAGCTGAAATACAAAAATACTAGGCCAATCCTTCTTGTGTTCGAACACAAGTAATAGCTCTAGCATATATATCTTCAACGACTTGAATATAAGCAATATCAATACCTTTCTTTTCTAGATCTCCCCAAAGTGCTTCTTTTGGAACATTATCATATTTTTTTTCTAAATCAATAAAAATCATATGTAGATATTGAATCTCTTTATATTTCTCCATCAAACATCTCAATAAATATATATCTTCCATAGTAAACTTGTTCGACATGAATCCAACTGATTTTGAGAAATTTTTATACAGCATCATAACCTATGCTCAATTACTCTCTCCCATAGCTTTAATGTAAAACACATTAACTTAATTCATCTATAATTTGTACACTCTTATGCAACTCTTTTATTCTTAAAAACATAAACAAATAGCCTCTTTTATCACTCATCAGGTATCTTTTTAGCTTTTAAAATAATATTAAAAAATTTAATAAGCCAAAAAGTTCCTAGCTCTCCAAAATATTTTCACATTTCTATTGGAATACTATCAGGTCTTATTGTTTTTCCACACTCATTTACTTAAACCTTCATTAACTTCTGTTTTATTAATGGGGACGATAGAAATAAAAAATTTTATTATTATTAAGGATATTAAGATCACTAAAATTGATCATGTTTTCACAATCTTCATTAAAAATTTTATTAAAATATCTCACCTACCTGTGTTGAATATCTTCATCTAAGAAAATTACTCTTTGATTTTCATCTTTAATAAACCTTACATGAACTAAATTTTTATTTTTTTCATCTCTTTGTCCAGCTAGTTAATACATATTGCTTTTATTTTCTTTAGTATTTAATTTATTATAAAGATCATTAAAAGTAGAATTCTTAGCATGACAAATAGTTCTCTTATGCTCCCTAAGGACTATCTTATATTTGTTTCAATTCTCCAAGTTTTTATATCTAAATCAATCTTTACAGTAATTTTTTTTATTTTTTTAACTTTCATACACATTTATATTACACCACATACTATTTTTATTTATAAAAGATTTTATTTTTGATTCTTCAAGCACATCTTTTACAGTTTGTTTAATAATACTCGTTATTTTATCTCACAAAATATTAACTTCATGAACATCCTAAATCTTAAAATCTTGAAATATATTAATAAAAATATTTTTTAGCAATTTAAGTGCCCATCTAATTCTATAAAAAATTTTGTTATTTTATCTTCCAACACTGAGTTTTAAAATAAAAAACTAATAATTGATGTTAGGCACTTAAAACTTTTAATACTAATGAGCTTACAATTTTAACAATCTAAATGATTTATATTTCTTATAAGAAAAAGATCAATTTGCATTTTAATAAATCCATTCTAATAAGTGATAATATGCCCATGTTTTTTTCTTAAGTATTAACAAGAATGAAATCATATGTCAAAACAAAATTCAATATGGCTCTACAGTCTTCATTAGTCACTCCAAAACTATAATCATCATGAATACTTCTAAAATCTTCTACCACTCTACCAATATGTTCATTTAAATTTTCCACAATAAAAATTTTTTCTTCAAAAAATATACATTATATTAATTCTTCTAAGCCATTCCAAGTTTTTTAAACATATATCCAAACTTAGGGAGCATAAACACTGATAACTTTAAGAAACTTAGTATCAATAATAATCTTTAAAACTATGATTCTATCTTCAATTCTATTAATTTTGATAATAGTATCCTTCAAACTCTTATTTATAATTATACCAACAACATTTATAGTACGACCTTTACCCGAATACTAAAGTTTAAAATCTATATTATCAATCTCCTTAGTCTTTTCTCCAACCTATTTAGTTTCTTGATTACACAAGATATTTATATTCATATGAACCATAATACTTATTAATTCTAAATTTACCCGTAAGAGTGCATATAATTCAAATTTTTATTCTAATGCTGATTTCATGGATCGACTTCTTTACATGCATTCATCCATAACGTGGGTATTAAGCACTTGCTTATTAAACACTACGCAGAGAGCATTCATCCTTGCTTTTTAAACACTACACTCGAGAGCTGGTGTAACGGCATTTGCACATTTTTCGTCATAATTAGGTCATACAACACATCACTTCTAGGGGATGCCCTAGCAATGAAGGAAAGAAAA